TACATGATTTTTTAAAACGGTGGATAAACGGTGGATAAACGGTGGATAAACCATGGTAAACATGGAGATCAACATGTAACTTGAAGAATGAAATGATCGATTTCTGGCTTCAACATTAAGTTTGTGGGAACAGGTTGATAGTTTTCCTGGCTTAAGTGGGATATAATTACGTACAATGTGTGGTTGTTTGTGAACTAATTTGTGAACGGGGCACAGTGATCCCTCATCTGTGAAACAACTGGTGAAAACTTTGAAGGACTTCACAAGGCCTTTCGGGGGAGCGGGAGTTGAAAACTAGCTGCGGTCTGTTTAGTGGAGTGGAGTAGTGTAGTTCAGTGAAAGCGGAGGACACAAATTTCCAAGCCAATTCTCAACTATAGATATTATAATATATATATAATATCAATGTATATATATACACAATGTATATATATATATAGAGAGATACATATAATATGATGAACATAATCATGTTATATCTATATCTTTAATCCAGTGCCCTCCAGTTCCTCAACTTGCTGGCTCCCAGTCCGGTTGCTATCTCTATTGCCCGAGGTCTCAGCTGGCAAAAGTGCCGGCGGGTCTCACAGTTGGGGCGCCAAAAAGCTGGGGGAAACCCCCAGTGATTTTGGGGTTTCCATAGGCATGGGGGTATCCCAATAGATGGAGAATGGAAAATTTTTGGGAAAAAAAACATGGATGATTTGGGGTACCCCTATTTTTTGGAAACCTCCTCTTATATGTCTATATACATATCGATGTGGGTTTCTTTGTAAAATGGGGTACCCCATACATCCTCATACTACCCCAAAATTCCATCCATTGGTATAATGGACCTGGATGACAATGTGGGGTAATTCCACCTCATTTAAGGAATCATTTCTTTGGTTTTTGTGTATACTTGGACATATGGAGGTCTCTTAGGTCAGAATCCGCAGGTCACCATATTTGTTTCAATATTCACATGGTATAATGACTTGGATAGTTTTGGGCGCCCCCAAATACTTGTACTGTATATTGCAGGAAACGCCATCTGTATATATATATATATGTGAATGTACAATTAAATGATTATATATAGCCCTCCCACAAACATGGACAAGATTTCTGGTGAATTGTAATTTCGCTGCCGATTATCTCGGAGGTCAATTTTGATAAATTACTGTATGTATTGCCGGCGTTTCTATAATCATACAGCATTTTTTAACATGGTACTGTGGATGGTTGGGAAATCCGAATCACGAGTTGATACAGGATTGTCTGTCCCACTATAATTCATTTGTTTACAATGGTTCGTAGTTGCAAATAATTATATACCAGGCTCACAGGAACAAACTAAAGGCGTTGTTTGCAGTCTGTTTTTGGTCGAACTATTGGGGCACTCTCCGAAAATATCCACCATGACTTGCTGGAAAATCTGCATTTATGGAAAACATATTATACCCTCCGGTAATCTAACATAGCTATTGAACATGGCCATTGATAGCTGATTTTCCCATTCAAAATTTTGATTTTCCATAGTTATGATAGTTATGTTATTTTACCAGAGGGTATATGATTATTAAGAGTTCCCAGCATTTATATATATATATATATGAGTAACAAATACCTAATCCTATAACTTATTATAACATATCCCCAAAATAAAGTTCGATGATTTTCCCAGCTCCCTCGTTGTTACTTCGGGGATTGCATCGCCGAACTCCTCGGGTGATTTTATGCCTCCGAAGATGAGCTTCAACAGGACAATCAAAAACTATAGTCGAAAATTGGTAAATTGATCTGGTCATGACTGTTATAAAGAATCCTGGAGGATCTATATTTGTCGGTGCAGCCAATCTTGGAAGTAGCCCACATGGGCATCTTGGGATCTTGGTAGGTTGTTAAAAAGTTTAGATCACTTGGTTGCTTTATAAAGGGATTATATATATTATAAATCAGACGATACAAAAGGGCATGTCCAATTTGCGGTTGATGTTTCTCAATGGCTCGTATTGATGAAATTGGTGATTTCCATCTCCATGCATATCAAATGCATATCTGGAGAGGTACCGTATGTATCCGTATGTGCGTATACACCATTAATGGATACGCTGGCCGTGACAGAAGGACCATAGATTTTCCAGCCGATTGTGGATTCACTTGCTGCATCAGCGATTCGTGCCTACTTCGGGTTCTACTCGGATGAGAACTTTAACTCTAGCGCGCCAAATTTAAGCAAGTTGTTTAGCGATGTTGAAGTGCACAACTTGTTTATCTTTCTTCCCCACATGTTGGTTTCTTAGATTGTGAGACATCCGCATGTGTCCGGTTTCAACCCTCGTGGTCGTGTACCCTGGTGTACCTCTAGAATTTCATGGTAGTTTCCCCTCAGACATCGCTCGCCGAGGCAGAAGAACTGCTGTCCAGCGAGCGCCTGCTCTCCGTGGCATCGGACGCGTTGTTGAAGACGTGGAAGCAGCAGGACGCGGACGGAAAATTTCTACACGACTGTGTCTTTGATATTTCTGAAGTAATCAGTAATAGTGTTAGTTTATTTTCTACGGTAAGTAGTATAAGTAAATATTACAGATTATTGTACCTCCATGTACCTCCAATGATTAGTTTATTGCCAATCGCTGTTGCTTCTACCTAACACGGGATTGCGGAACTAGCCATGAAGCTTGGTGAACTAATCAGGGGATTTCAGGGCGAGCCTGGGGTCCCACTGGCGACTGAGAAAATCGATGGACTTAAGGTGATTTACTGTTTCTTGCTCCTTCTTGCTCTGCCCCTTGTACTTCTCCTTTGCACTGCTCCTTACACTTTTCCTTGCACTCCGCCTTGCAGTCCTCCTTGTAGTCTTGGACAGGGTTATCTCCACGAAGTCCTTTCTAAATTCACCTCCTTCCTCTCCTCCTTGCTCTCCTCCTAATTTGTACTTTGTCTATTCTCTTGCTGCTTTTTTTGGTCTTCTACGAGGTTCCTCTTCTTCGCCCGCCTTATCCCTTCTTGCTTTCGCTTCCTTTTTCTCAACTCGGTCTACTTGGCGTGTCCGCTGCTTTCCTTTTTCTTTTTCTTTCTAATCTCCCTCACTTTTCCTAGCTCTCCTTCTTTCCTACCGGCTCTTCTTGCCCTTTTGGTCTTCCTTCTTCTCTCCTTCGCTGTTTGCATTTTCCATCCTGTGTCTGGTTTCCGTTCTGCATTCTTCTTCTTGCCCCAAGTCCGCGGCACTCATGGCTGTTGCTGGCTGACATGAGGGACTTGGGGAACTGAAATCCAGCATGCTTCTTGCTGCTTTCTTCCTTTCCACTTCTTCCTTCTCCTTTGCTTTTTTCTCTTCCACTCTTGCCCCGAGTCCGCAGCACTCACGACAGACGCTGGCTGTCATGAGGGGCTCGGGGAACTAAACTCCAGCGAGTACCCTTTTCCCTGCTCGCGCTACGCTCACTGCTTTGCTTGCTTTTCCTACTTACTCTCCCTACTGTCCCTGCTTTCCTTACTTTGCCTGCTTTCCCTCCTGCTTTCTTGTTCTTCTAGAAGGTTCTTTTTCTTCCTCCCCTCTCTTTGTCCTCGTCTCCACCCCATCTCCAGATACGATCCTTTCTCCTTCTCCCCCCTTAAAATCATGACAGCAAATCCATGTTTTGGGTTTGCGCAACGACGCCGGGAGAGAGAAGAAGAGTTTGGGTATGACAACCCTGAAGACGCAACGAAGAAGATGGAAGAAGGATTGGATACGAATTCAAATCGACAACAAAGGTATGAGAGTCAAAGGTGGGGATTTAGCCGAGGACAACCAGTTTTTACCCCTTGAACAGTAGAGAGCGACAGTGTTGATATAAGAACTACACAGCGCGGAACAATAAAAAGGAGATATCATACATGATGGTGCACCCCAGTTATAAGTTGGTTTATAAACCATTATAACCCCCATTAACTATAGTATGCTATAGCTATATCTAACATAAACCATAGTTAAGCCCCTTATAAGGTAACTTAGCTACCTTGGGGACCCCATCCTGTAGAAACGTGGCTTTAGCCTACTTTGGGTGGCCATCACAGTGAGGAGACCCGTCGAAGTTCGGCTACTGTTTCGGGTTACCGAGAGCTGTTCGAAATTTCATCATTTTTTTAAACGAGGTATTTCGGTATTTCCATATTTTATGGAACCATGCCATTGGATGGTTTTCCCTCAGTGCTCAGACAACCTATATGCCGAAGTCCGTTGTATTTCACCTTCGTTTGTCGTGCTAAAGCTGCCCCATCACGCATAAGAGGCTGGATGTCAGAAGCTTTGCGGCTCCTGAAAAGATGCGAGTGAAATCGAACTTTGATGATTGAACGTAGTTGTCAAGATGTGGTACATTTTTTTTGACCCGTAGAACATTCTAATGTGGTAAACCCAATAGCAACCAACCATTTCAAATAATAATGCTAACAACGATCATAATAACATTAATAATGCACTAATGGAATTGTAGCTTTTACGTAAATATGCAATGGGATAATCATCATTTTACGGAATCAGAACGTAATAAATAGTATTTGCCACATTCGACATAATAATAACGTAGTATAATAGCCATCATTTGACCCCTAATCATGATGTAAAAATATGCCACTAGCCAACGTAAACATTTAGTAAGAATAATCACCGTTTCAACTGATTACAATGTAATGGGAATACCCCTATATAATGTAACCATTCCCTAAAGTAACCACCATTCAACGGAATAATAATGTAAAAAAAAACTGTGGATGGAAAAAAACCTGCACCAGTTGGCAACCGTTAAGTAACTATGAAACATTGTAAATAATGGGGTTATAAGGGGAAAAACCATATACCAACTGGTGCAGGATTTCTTCCATCCACCGTAGTACCCAGCCATTTGACATCATAATAACGCGCTATAGTAACCACCATGTGAGCACCATTGTTGATGCCCCCTATTCCCCCTACTTTGCTGGTTTGTCGTCTGGTGGTTTCTGTTCCTGTCCCGATGCTGGTCCTTGTCCTTAGCTGCTGTTCTGCTCAAGGCGTCCTTTGAAGGTATAGGTTTTAGGTATGGGAAAGGCAGCGGCGAAACGGCCGGCTGCAAAGGGGCGGGCGCGGGCGAAGGGGAAGAGGCGGCCTTCGGGCGAGCCTAAATGCCCGAACTGCAGGCGGGGCTGCTGGGTGGGAGGTTGCTGGGAAGTTGCTGCGGGAGGTTGCTGCTGGTCCGTCTCTCTTCCCGCCCTGTCAGGAAGGCGTACCTCACGCAACTGCGTGCGGAAAGGCGCGGTCAGGTGTCACCCCCTTTGTGTTCCTGTCCCCTCCTTCCCTTGTCCCTGCAGGCTGGTCGCGTTGTGGGCGGAGGCAGAAGGGGTGAAGTGGCAGAGGCAGGGCCAACTGAAACGTTGGACCCTATGCCTGGGGTGCCACAAGAAGAGGTGGCCGGAGGCGGGGTCGGTTTGGGTACTGCGCCAACCCCCCATTAAAATCTAGGTTCTATCCAGTTATAACTAGGATCACAACTCAGCTAAGATACAATCGTAACTCCATAACTTGTGTTTTAAAGTTATGATACTTATCATCCGATTTTATGATGATTAAGTTGGATTATGTTATTTATGATGTTTACTAAACATGTCTAACTTTAGCATAATCAACATAAGTCAACATAATTCAACATAAGTCAAGATAAGTTTTCTATATTTTATTTAGATTGCCAAGCATGGACATTTGATCAGTTAAAGACAAGTGGCCAAAAAATAAGCGTGCTCATATCTTTTTGAATTTCTTCGTTTATATTTTCTGTGAAATGATAGGGAAATTGTATTCATTTAACAACTAAAAATGATGCCAATGAAAAAACGCATTCAATATTTCGTGTGCTAACCTGAAAATTAAAGCTGTCATAGTATTTTTCAAAAACATGCAAAGACAATTTTGAAATAAATAAGTATAGTAATACATAAAAATCAAGGTTTATTACAAATTTTAAAACAACAACAACATGTGTTTTGAAATTAATTTTCAAAATAATATTTGTTTAGAATTATCTTACAACAAACGTCAATAACAAATTGAACAATTTAGTTTGGAGGAGAAAATTTCATATGTCATGATACGTTTTTTTTTTGAAATAGCAAATTGAATTTAGAAAAGAAATATGTTTCATATTTTAAAAAGGAAAATATTGACATAAAAAAAACAATAAAACAAAAAACAACAAGTACAAAAAAAAAACAGGACAATGTGGGAGTGCACGTTTTTTTTTTCAAAACTGTAATCACATTAAAGCTTAAGCCGCAGATGAAGCTATGTTCATGTCCACTAGAGAGCATATATTGCTTGAAGAAGTGTCCATGTGCTCACTCTACCTTAGATAAATGCTACTACAGGGTCCCTTCAACAAGCCAAGCATATTCTAGATGACTTCAACATAATTACAACATCCCCATGCCTGCCAACAAATGCAATATTCAAAACGAACATACCCTTCTGTTTATTGTTTTTTTTCAAAACTGTAATCACATTAAAGCTTAAGCTACATATAAAGCTGTGCTCGTGTCCACTAGAGGGTATGCATTGCTTGAAGAAGTGTTCAGGTGTTCACTCTACCTTGGATAAATGCTACTACAGTGTCCCTTCAACAAACACAATTTCTGCCTAATATGGTAGATGACTTCAACATAATTACAACATCCCAATGCCTGCCAACACATGCAATATTCAAAACAAAATATCCTTCTGAATAAGAGCAACCGTCCTTTGGGGTGTTTTTGCAGGGACACTATCCAAACAACATATGAAGTATTCCTTGAAAAGTTGCACCATGCCCTTTGAAGGAGTGCAATGTGCATTTCCAGATGTTTAACCCTCCTTTCAAATGAACAGTACCCCTTTTAGAAGAGTCAATATTTCTGCATGTATATGCATTATTATTGACATAGAGCACCCCTTTCAAAAGTGCAATATGTTTGAAACTGTGAGCACTACCATATGTTCAAAAAATGGTTGATTGAAGATTTAAATGTGCACATTCTTCAAATTACAATATTTTTCAAGAGGGGGGCTGCCTACACCAAAGGGTGTTATTCCCAAAATATGGTTCGTTGTCTTGGGAAAATATCACATTATGCATTCAGAAAAATGATGTGCAATTGTGACGGACATATCTGACGTGCTTACATGTACCATGTGTTCTTCATTTAAGAAAATATAGCGTGAAAAGGGCGTTGCATGTGCAAGAGGGTTCATTTTTGACGTAGAAGTAGACTAAGACATGCCCTACTTCAATGGGATGCTCTACCGGGCTCTACCATTTTATAAGAGACATGCACTTGTCTTCCAAAATGTTTGAACATGTGCATACCCAAGGGTTTGAGCCAAGAATGTCATTATCAAAATCAGTTCCACACATGCATTGGCTGCCTATGTTTTTGCATTTGTTCAACGCAGTTTTCGAGAAATTACATATCCAGTAGAGTTGGGTCTTGTCATTTTGTTTCTTGGTATTTTTCTTTTTTTTGGTTTCGTGTTGTTCTGGTTTCTTGTTTTTTTTGTTTTTGGTCTTGTTAGCAATGGCAGAAAAATCAAACAACGAACTAGAAAATAAGAAACCAAACAACCAAGAACCCCCCAAAAAAAACAAGACTGCACACCCCAAGGGGGGGAGTAGTGGCAGAGAGTTGGGTCTTGTCATTTTTTGTTTTTTTTTGTTTTTTTTTGGTTTCTTATTTTTTTGTTTTTTTTGGTTCTTGGTTTTTGGTTTTGTTTAGCCATTGCAGAAAAACCAAACAGAAATTACAGAAATTGTCAATGGTTGCAAAGCAGTGAGAGAACCATGGCACATGTGCAGTGTCAGTGGTTCTAGAATGCAGTGAAAACCCGCACTCCCAGGGTGTCCCCTTCTGAAAACAATATATATTGATAGACAAAAAATATGTAGATTTAAATTTTCTAATATTGAAATATGAAAAACTATATCTGATAATATTGAATACAATATAATACATTTAGAAAGAAATGAAATGTCAAAATATGTTTCTATTATGTAAATTATAAAAAACCTAACATTGAATATGTGTTTAAATATTGAATTTTCATGTTGATTATGGATTTATGAAAAATATTATAATTGTAACATGTTTTTGTACTGAATGTAACATGTTCATTCTTGAGGCAAACTAATATTGTCTAATAAAAACAAACAAGAAACAATACAATTCCAATAATTCAAAAGCAAAACAATTCAGCGCACACTGTTTGATTGCTCTGTCAATTACCTGCGGCATGTAGAAATTGCTTGCCTCTAGATGCTCAAGTTCGGGTCACAAACATAACTCAAGTTAACTCAAGTAGACTCAAGTTTTTTAATATCTAGTTATAACTGCTCTAAGTGGGTTATGGCTGTTACCTAACTTTACCTAAAGGGGGGTTGGCGAAGTAGGTCGGGTTGTGTCGGTCGCCGTCGGGAGGTTTGTCCAGGTTTGTCGATTCCCCGCAACCGTCAGGACGGAAGGACCAGGAACCGGCGGTGCATCCCAAAGGTCGCCCCGACCCGCGGGGTGCACCGGCTCTACGTGACCGAGCCGCCACCGGAGGTCGGGATTGGATGGGATGGGACGGGGTCCTGTGGGAGGTAGTCCGTGGTATCTTCTGTCTTTCGTCATTGTCTTCCCATCTGTTCAGGTTGGGCCTCTTCCTGCGCTCCCTTCCCGGCCACGTGGCCCACGTCGCCCCAAGCAAAGGTCTGCTCCTTAGCAAGCAACCGCCCTCCCCTTCCCTACCCAGCCCCAGCAGCTCTCTCTCGTCTTTTGAGGCCTCAGCGAAAAAAACCTGCGAGAAAGGCGCGGCATAAGGTGTCCCAGGTACCCGCATTAAACTAAGATCCTATCCCCTCTTGCCACCAGGTGAAAAAGGCTGCCCAACAGCCCTGCCTCCCCCGCGGCCCCTGCCACCCCCGGGCCCAGTTTGCTCCTCAGCTAGCTGCTGCCGTAACTGCACCCCGCCCCTGCCTTTCATCGCCTTGCACCCCGTCCAGGTACCTTTGAAGGGTTGTGCTTCAAAGTGCCCGGGGCGGACCTCCACCAGAAGCGCCGGGTGACCTTTGTTGCAGAGATAAGGTGTCTGGTTAGGGGTCCTTGTCCCGTGTTTCTTTACCGCCTTCCCTTTCCGTTCAGGCCGAATTGCTCGTCCACGCTCCCTTGAAGTTCGCCTTCAAACCCGACGTTTGTCGGGAGCTGTGGTCGAAACCTTAGCCCGGTGTCTGCGTCGCTGTCGTAAAAACGTCTTCCCCCCCCTTGCCCAGGTTCGAGCAAATCGGCCAGAGAGGTGCCTGCGACAACTGCGACAGGCGCAAGAAGGTTCCCCTCCCGTCCTGCCAGGTCCTTTCTCAACCCGAACGCTGGGTTGGTGGAGGCCGGGCCAACCTCGCCCAACACCACCCGTAACCCGCCACCCTTCGCCTTTCCTTGTCAGGTCCCGGGTCGCCCCTTCGCTTCCTACGTGCAACGCCCTCAGCAACTGAACACACCCCCTTTGTTCCGATGCCTTACAAATTCTCGCCCCAGGGCCCTCTGCCCCGCCTGCCGCACGCACGGGAGCCGAACGGTTGCCTAGTGGGAAGGGCTCAAAACCATAGGTTCTATGGTCATCCATCTATATGTTGATGAATATGGTGGTTTTAATCTAAATCATATGTATATTGTCGATGTCTCATATGTGAGCGGACCCCGATCGGTTATCAAACTTTTCACACAAATTTGGATACAAGTCCATACCCTATTACTTAATCTTTAGCTAATGCTGGCCGTTAACTCCCCTATACTGAATGGGTGGTCCCAGATCGACTATGCAAGTCTTCAACCCTACCGTACACACCCTGGTGAAGATCCTTCAAGACATGAACCATGTACAACTAGGTAGTCATATATCATGATACGTAGATAGTTGGGTATATGATCTATATGCTATCATATCCCATCTATTTCTATCTATTCAAGACCTTCTGCCATCCCTTCTTAATGGTCATCCCAATCCAACGCCATCTGTACGGCCTCGCCTAGGCCGTGACCCCTGAGAGCGGCCCGGCAAATTAAAGCTTTAAAAAATGAAATTATCAAAGATAATAATAATAGAAACTATTTATATTAATTTAAAAAATAAAAGGACATAATTAAAAAAACACAAGTTGCTATATGGAAAAATATTTTATACGGTTAGTTGGTTGTTTGATTGGTTGATTGGTTGGTTCTTTGGTTGGTTCGTTGGTCGGTTGGATGGTTGGTTGGTTGGTTGATTGGTTGATTGGTTGGTTGGTTGGTGAGTTAGTTGGCTGGGTGGTCGCTTTGTTGGTTGGTGAGTTGGTTGGCTGGGTGGTTGATTGGTCGGATGGTTGGTGGTTGGTTCGTTCGCTAGAACTCCCTGGGAAGTAAAACTGTATGCTATTAATTAGTACAAGATGGTACAAGTGCGACATTTGTTATACACGAGACGCCCACGCACACCCGGACCTGGAATCTGAAAGCAGCACTTGGACCAAAACCATGCAAAGTTAATCAACAATATCGACATACGAACGTAAATCAACATGTGCTCGCCGAAGAGGTTACTAAAATACTAACAAGAATCAAATTCCTTAACTAAGAAGTCAGTTGTCCAATCATCCAATCTGTAGCATCGCCCCAATACAAGCATCAATTAAAAAGCGCTTGGCGAAGAAGTTCCCTGATAAGCGCCTTTCTTTGAAATTATATTCAACCAAGGTCAAGCACAATTGGCTGCCGAAGGGGCTCCCTAATCAGGACCAAAGTGAGCATAAACAAAAAAACTTTTCATAGAGTTTCACATTCATTGTCTAGCAACCTAATTTAAAGCCTCAAACGCATGGCATCTTTTGTTATTTCACCATGCTACCAGCTAGGGTCAATACTGACATTAGCCAGGACTCAGTTTGAAATATCTGATGGAAAACTTGAAAATGGCAAAAACCATTACCAGAAGACATATAATTTCTATTTATTAACTAAAGGATTTTGAATGACACCCATGCATCATTACAACCATGTAGACATCCCGGGGTTGATTAGTTTTTATTATTAGGAAGCGAAACCCACAAATGGTAGTTTTATTTTTAAATTGTTTTCTAAAGGGAATCAATTAAAAGTCAAATTGGCCAATCTGAAATTTTCCAAAATTAGAGATGGACCCTAGTTTTCATTACAGTATTTGGGGTGGGGTTAGTAATAAGGGGAAGGGATTACATACAGACAGACAAACACACATAGATACATAGGTACATACATGCATGCATACATACATACACATATACATACATACAAACATACATGCAGACTGGCACACAGACAAACATAAATACAGACATACATGCATATATCATCATATATCCACCCATGCATGCATGCATGCATGCACATACACACATACATGCATACATACATACATACATACATACAGGCAGGCATGCATACATACATTCATGGATACATAGATGGATGCATACATACATACGTGCACACATACATGCATACACAGCACATGTGTGTATGTATGTTTATATATATAAGCACATGTAAATACAGTATATTTATATATATATATATTTACACATACAACCATACATGTAAATGTGACAAATCATCGTAAATGGGTACATGTTTGTCAACTTGTTGGGGTTGTTTGTGCTCCATGTTTGATGGTTACCCACTTGGACCCCACTTGCTTAAATTTGATTGTTTGATCCTTGCAACTTTGTCGGTCAATCCCAGTTGTAAGTTGAATTTCAATCCCCATGCACTATATAATTAGAATCACCATAAACCCGAGTGTTATGTATATATTTGTTTATATCTATAGTCAGAATCGTGGAAAAACCTGTATAAACCCTATACTTATATCTATCGTACTTTATAAACTCAATTAGCCAAGGATGTGGGACACCACCCGGCATCAATCAACCTTTTTTCGACAGGAGACATGGCCAAGATCCTTACAGAAAGCGCCAGAGGAGTTAGTCCTTTAAGCCCAGCCTGACGTGGGATCCATGGCGGCGTGGGGTACCCCTACCCTCTGGTAATGACGAACAGTTTGCTATTGAAAATGGTCATAGAAATTGATTTAGCTATTGAAAATGGTGATTTTCCAGTTCGTCAGGATTGTTCATTAATTATCATTCTGGGCCTCAATGCACTAAATTTCCATTTTGGGATACCCGCGTTTTAAGAAACACCCACATCCGGGTGTGTTCAAACAATGAGGGGAAAACCATGGAGAACCGAAATAAATCCATTGGTGAATCACCAAAATCATCCTTTTCCGTAGTACAAGTCCACAAAAGTGTACCAATGGACAACAGACATGAACAATTTACAATGTCTAGAGGGTAGAATATCTTAACGGTGAACATTTTACATGGGATGAACATCTACCTCGACCCTCGATATGCCCATGAAAGATGATTTAAACATATTAAAGAGAAACATCTCATTTTTTGTGCGCATAACATGTCCATCTTCAGGATTCAGTTAAGGATTTCTAGGTATTGGTTCATACAACCGTCAGTACGAAACCGCGGTTGTACCATATGTTCAGCAGCATTCGATGATTTTGTCGTTTTTCCCTAAGGTGCACCACACTGTAGCAGATGCCTTTGCAAACATGAGTTCCTTGGCTGCACTTAGATGTTGCCAGAATTCATAATTCGTGCTTAGTAGTTGGAGTTAATTATATTAAATCCATGTAAATGCGAGGGGTAGAACTCATGTCCGAAGCATTTATCTGGTTGGTGGTTTGGAACATGATTTTTTCCATATATTGGGAATTTCATAATCCCAACTGACAACTGACAAACTCATATTTATCAGAGGGGTAGGTATACCACCAACCAGATAGCAATTTCATCTCAGAAGGGATGTGTAAAACGACCAATTGCTTTGAAGCGAAGTTGTTGACCCAGCTACCAGTACTTCATGAATTCCACGGTGTTTGTTGCAATATTTGCATGCAGATGTTTACAACTCCAGGTGAATTGATATGTGTTTATGTTTAAGTCAGTGTTCCTTTTTGAATAACAAGTGCCAACATTGATAACTAAGATGTGACTTATTTACCCATTCACTACCTTTTTTGGAAGGGTACTGACTCTCACTGCCTTTTTTGTTGGTTGCATCACCATCGTGCATCGACCAACCGTTTGTTTGCATATATGTTATTTTGATTTATTTTGTGTGTAATAGCCATATGCTTGTCTATCAAACTCACCAAATATTTGATCCTGTCCCCTCAATATGTGATATCCCCCGTCTAGAAACCCTGATTAAGTACTCAGTCTATTCGTGAATTGGGCTCCTTGGAGGCAATTCTGTCATAATATGCCCGGGACCAACAAACCACTTGCGGCAGGTCGCACCTTAAAGAGATTGCATATCTCCGAGGACCTGTGGGGAATTTGGGGTCACAGATACACGTCTGAATCACTCGAAAAACGGAAGGCTGACAAGATCGGAATTGAGGATTTCGCCACTACCCGCAGGAATTGGACTCCTTTTCCCTGACTGAAGGGCAATTGGAAGCAATCCGTAGCAACTCGCCACAGTTTGGTGGGTGAGGTACCCTCTGGTAAACATACAAAAAGCTATTGAACATGGCCATTTATAGTGGATTTTACCATTAAAAATTGTGATTTTTCAATAGCTATGTTAAATTACCAGGGGGTAGGTACCAGTTGGAATGATCCTATGAGGCACCTCCCAAAAAATATGGTCCCAATGGAATGTGGAAATGCCCTACGAAACATGTTCCACGTGGTTTCTAGGAATTCATGGCATCAGCAAAGATGCTGAATTTGTATGAACAAAAACATGCCTAGAAACTTTCCCAACAAAGTTGTGAAGTATTAATACTTATGATTTCACCAACAAAGTATGGGCCAGCGTAGGATTCTGTGTTGTGACAGTGTTGTGCTTGTCGCAACATATCTTGACCTCAGCTGACCTGTCTGATCTCACCATAGATGTGTGAATCTTGGGTTTCTGAAAATGTGGGATCCCCAAGTCACCATGGGTTTCAATGCTAAAATGGTCTAATGACTGGATGATTTGTGGGTGCCCTAATGACTTAGGAAACCTCCAATGATTTAAGCAGAGGCAGCCAGATCACTTCATCGTGCTTACAAATAGACGAGTGCAGTAACTTGGTAAACCTGAAATGGCAAACACCTGTTTTGTGCGCGTTTTTTTCAGTCAATGGCATGGTTTCCACTGAATGGTTGATGCAAAAAGATAGGTTAACCATGGGTTAACCCCCTTTATAGCAACCCGCAAAAAAGATAGACAAGTAACATCTTACAAGAGCGTGGTGAATTGCGTTTCTATTGTGTTTTGTGTGGTTACTACAATATAATACAGTAATGACAATAAGTTATATATGACATGCCAGATCGGCCCAAACCAACTTCTCTTTTAACCCCCCAAATGCATCCCCCAGGCAAGGAATATAGCTTCGAATTCTCATATTCAGTAGTTTTCGGAAGATGTTCCATGAAAACGTGGTGAATCCAAGTGCTGTTTTGGCCCTCACATGCCCAAATTGTTCCCTTGTGCTGGGTCAACCAACTGGTTAGATACTAACTAGTACCCCAACATCTTTTGCTATCAATGATAAAATGTACTAACTATAGATCTACTGGTTGGTGGTTTGGAACATGAATTGTATTTTTCCATGGATTGGGAATGTCATCATCCCAACTGACGAAGTCATATTTTTCAGAGGGGTAGGGCTCAACTACCAACCAGTTATAGTTATTAACCATAATTAACCATATAATAACCATTAATATTCAACTTTACTAACAGTACGTATATTAACCACATATTAACCGTCATTAACCATGTAATAACCATTAATATTAACCATTATTAACAGTATATTAACCATATATTAACCAGTATGTTTTTTTTGGCCGGTCTCCAAGATTCACCAAACATCACTGAGGTACTCTTGCGCACCTTGCCGATCCGCAAGTGCAGGACATAGGCGGAAAACCAGATCCACCCAAAACGGTGGCGTTTTTTTTTGTAATGATCTATCCATATTAATAATGGTTAATATAGAGTATAGTGTTATCAAAGGAAGTTTAGGGGGAGAAACTTCCGTGTTACGGACTTTTAGAATGTCAGGGAAAGAGTTAGTGAAAGAAAGAGTTAGCAAAGAAAGTTAGTCAAAGAAAGAGTTAGTGAGGGAAAGAGTTAGTCAAAGAAAGAGTTAGTCAAAGAAAGAGTTAGTCAAAGAAACAGTTTGTCAGGGAAAGAGTTAGTCAGGGAAAGAGTTAGCCAAAGAAAGAGTTAGCAAAGAAAGAGTTCGTCAGGGAAAGAGTTAGTCAAAGAAAGAGTTAGTCAAAGAAACAGTTAGTCAGGGAAAGAGTTAGTCAAAGAAAGAGTTAGTCAAAGAAACAGTTAGTCAGGGAAAGAGTTATTCAAAGAAAGAGTTAGTCAAAGAAACAGTTAGTCAGGGAAAGAGTTAGTCAAAGAAAGAGTTAGTCAGGGAAAGAGTTAGTCAAAGAAAGAGTTAGTGAGGGAAAGAGTTAGTCAAAGAAAGAGATAGTGAGGGAAAGAGTTAGTCAAAGAAAGAGATAGTGAGGGAAAGAGTTAGTCAAAGAAAGAGTTAGCAAAGAAACAGTTGTCAGGGAAAGAGTTAGTCAAAGAAAGAGTTAGTGAGGGAAAGAGTTAGTCAAAGAAAGAGTTAGTTAGTCAGGGAAAGAGGTAGTCAAAGAAAGAGTTAGTGAGGGAAAGAGTTAGTCAAAGAAAGAGTTAGTGAGGGAAAGAGTTAGTCACAGAAAGAGTTAGCAAAGAAATTGTTCCCTCACTGTAAATGGGATTGCAAGTGGTGCTGGTGGAGGAGTTGCCGATGGAGTTTTGGAGGAAGTCTCGCACGAAATGCGTTTTTGAGAGATAGCAGATGCACGAAAGCCTATGTTTTTCCATACAAAGTGCGTCCACGAACGTCGATGATCTACCTCTGCTGTGCGACGGGTGCGAGACGGTCTCGTGTGTGGTCGGATCATGTTCGGATCATGGGCGGATATGGTCGGATCGGTTCCGCATTGTAAATGGGGTGTCAACAGTTTTTCGTGCATGTGTGGTCGACAGAATTCCATTGTGATTTGCAACTGTAGGATCGTTCCCGCAATGCAAATGGCATTGCCAGTGGTGCTGGTGGAGGAGTTGCCGATGGAATTCCATTGTGCTTTGCAACTGTAGGATCGTTCCCGCAATGTCTAGAAGGTTTCACATGCTTCCGTGGACGAGCTGAGGACGTAATACCATTGTGTTTTGCTAGGGATTGTTGCTAATCGCATTGTAATGGCTGCGTGAACTTGCTGCAGCTGGATTCTTTCAGATTTTGCCTGCTTTCATTTTCTATTTCAATTCTTTATAAAAAACGCTTCAAAAATCAACTTTTTCTGCTCTGGCGTCGAGATCCGGTTTTGGAGCTACAATTTCCGACGCCGTTGCGCGTAGTTCTAGTGTGTTTTGCAACTCAGTCTCTGCAGATCGCATTGTAATGGCTGCGTCAAGGTTGCTTCGTGCTGTGGCTGCATTCGTAATACTATTGTCTTTTGCAGCTGGATCTCGTAAATCGTCTTGGAGTGGCTGCATGAAGGCTGCGAAATGGGTTTGTTAGCAGATTTCTCCATTTTGGCACTAGTGTTTTTTTTGTTGGACGTACGTTTAGAGCAGTGTGAAGTGTGGGGCGTGAAGAGTGCAGTGTGAAGTGTGAAGTGTGAAGGAAGCAGTGGGAAGTGAGAAGTGTGAAGTGTGGGGTGTGAAGTTTCAGTTTGGAGTGCGAAGAGCGCAGTGTGAAGTGTGAAGTGTGAGGTTTGGAGTGTGAAGGAAGCAGTGAGAAGTGAGAAGTGTGAAGTGAGAAGTGTGAAGTGTGGACTGTGAAGTGTGGAGTGTGAAGTGCGAAGTGAGAAGTGTGAAGTTTGGAGTGTGAAGGAAGCAGTGAGAAGTGAGAAGTGAGAAGTGTGAAGTGTGGACTGTGAAGTGTGGAGTGCGAAGAGCGCAGCGTGAAGTGTGAAGTGTGAAGTGTGAGGTTTGGAGTGTGAAGGAAGCAGTGAGAAGTGTGAAGTGTGGACTGTGAAGTGTGAAGTGTGAGTGAAGTGTGAGTGAAGTGTGGAGTGTGAAGTGCGAAGTGAGAAGTGTGAAGTGTGAAGTTTGGAGTGTGAAGTTTGGAGTGGGAAGGAAGCAGTGAGAAGTGAGAAGTGTGAAGTGTGAAGTTTGGAGTGTGAAGGAAGCAGTGAGAAGTGAGAAGTGTGAAATGTGGAGTGTGAAGTGTGAAGTGTGAAGTGCGAAGTGAGAAGTGTGGACTGTGAAGTGTGAAGTGTGGACTTTGAAGTGTGAAGTGTGAAGTGTGGACTGTGAAGTGTGAAGTGTGCAGTGTGAAGTGTGAAGTGTGAAGTGTGAGGTTTGGAGTGTGAAGGAAGCAGTGAGAAGTGAGAAGTGTGGAGTGTGAAGTGTGGAGTGTGAAGTTTGAAGTGCGAAGAGTGCAGTGTGCAGTGTGAGGTGTGGAGTGTCGAGGGAAGGACACGGTCGGGACAGGTTGTCTTTGAACTATAGGTCATTTATGTTTGGGAAACTTCCGCCGCCGGCTTGCCCGGGTCTATGTTATATGGTTAATATATGGTTAATATATGGATATATATATATATATGCTTTGTTTCTTTGACATTCTGCCCGGATTGACTCCAGCAAGTTCTTTCTGGTCAGAATTGTATTCCGAATACGGTGCGTTTCAATGGGAAATTCAGAGGAACATGGATGAACATTAGCATAGTTCCTAGATAGCATAGGTGCCCATCTTGGGGTGTTGACGATGTCAGTAACCTTCCCCCCGAATGTGGGCCCATTCATTCCGGGATATTGATAATGGCCAGATGTCGTAGTATTCATATGTATTAATATTAGGGGGATGGGATTAATCCTTAACTTGCACAAGGTTAAAAACACCACGATTACTCAGGAATAGTATGGAATAGTTAGGATAAATTCAAGTTTGTTTGTATTCCAAGTGTATCAAAATCAGGATCTTGTTGAATTACCTGGCTGAAGCACCGATTCATGGGTTGAAATCGTCAATGGATGTACTGAATGAAGCTGATGACTCTACGATGGAGCTCTGCGAGTCATGTTTTGCGTCGTCATTGTTAGTCATAGCCATTAGTTCGGGGGCAGATGGTGGAGATGGTGGATTGATGAGGAGTGTATGATACCAACATTCACTTGATTCACTTTATAAGAAGGGGGAATCTACAGGCCTACAGGATTTTTGTTCCATGGGTTGACCCTTCAAAAACGCGACAAATCATCCGAAGAAAGCAAGTCTAGCTGATAGTGAGCTACAAGGTGGTATCCATCTGAGTTGGCTTCACTATTTTTCACTATATATATATATATAACATAGACCCGGGCAAGCCGGCGGCGGAAGTTTCCCAAACATAAATGACCTATAGTTCAAAGACACCCTGTCCCGACCGTGTCCTTCCCTCGACAACCGTTTGATTTTTTCAGCGAGAGACAAAGCAAAGTCTTCACACTCCACACTTTTCACTGCACTCTTCGCACTCCGAACTTGAAACTTCACACTCCAAACTTCACACTTACACTACTGCTTCCTTCACATCCAAACCTCACACTTCACATTCACACTGCGCCTTCGCACTCCAAACTGAAAATTCACACTCCACATTACAAATTCTCACTTCCACTGCTTCCTTCACACTCCAAACCTCACACTTCACACTTCACACTGGCTCTTCGCACTCCACACTTGCACAGTCCACACTTCACACTTCTCATTACACTTCTCACTTCTCACTGCTTCCTTCACACTCCAAACCTCACACTTCACACTTCACACTTCACACTGCGCTCTTCGCACTCCAAACTGAACTTCACACTCCACACTTCACACTCCACACTTCACACTTCACACTTCACACTTCTCACTTCTCACTGCTTCCTTCACACTCCAAACCTCACACTTTACACTTCACACTTCACACTGCGCTCTTCGCACTCCAAACTGAAACTTCACACTCCACACTTCACACTTCACACTTCTCACTTCTCACTGCTTCTTTAAATCACAACACCTACACTCCACACCTCACACTGCACACTGCACTCTTCGCACTCCAAACTTCAAACTTCACACTCCACACTTCACCCTCCACACTTCTCACTTCTCACTGCTTCCTTCACACTCCAAACCTCACACTTCACACTTCACACTGCACACTTCACACTTCACAGTCCACACTTCACACTTCACACTTCACAATCCACACTTCACACTTCACACTTCACACTCTTCACTTCTCACTGCTTCCTTCACACTCCAAACCTCACACTTCACACTTCACACTTCACACTGCGCCCTTCGCACTCCAAACTTAAACTTCACACTCCACACTTCACACTTCTCACTTCCCACTGCTTCCTTCACACTTCACACTTCACACTGCACTCTTTACGCCCCACACTTCACACTGCTCTAAACCTACGTGCAACAAAAAAAATACTAGCGCCAAAATGGAGAAAATCTGCTAACAAATCCATGTCGCAGCCTTCATGCAGCCAGTCCAATACGATTTACGAGATCCAGCTGCAAAAGACAATAGTATTACCAATGCAGCCACAGCACGCAGCAACCTTGACGCAGCCATTACAATGCGATCTGCAGAGATTGAGTTCCAAAACACAATAGAACTACGCGCAACGGCGTCGGAAATTGTAGCTCCAAAACCGGATCTCGACGCCAGAGCGAAAAAAAGACGATTCTGAAGCACTTTTTAAAAGGATTTTTAGAAGGAAAATCACTAGCGCCAAAATGGAGAAAACCTGCTGACAAATCACTGTGGCAGCCTTCATGCAGCCACTCCAGTCCGATTTACGAGATCCAGCTGCAAAAGACAATAGTATTACCAATGCAGCCACAGCACGAAGCAACCTTGACGCAGCCATTTACACTGCGGGAACGATCCTACAGTTGCAAAGCACAATGGAATTCCATCGGCAACTCCTCCACCAGCACCACTTGCAATCCCATTTACATTGAGGGAACGATCCTAGAGTTGCAAATCACAATGGAATTGCATCGGCAACTCATCCACCAGCACCACTTGCAATCCCATTTACAATGCGGGAACGATCCTACAGTTGCAAATCACAATGGAATTCTGTCGACCACACATGCACGAAAAGCAGTTGAAACCCCATTTACAATGCGGAACCGATCCGAGAATGATCCGAGAATAATCCGAACATATCCGACCACACACGAGACCGTCTCGCAACCGTCGCACCGCAGAGGTAGATCATCGAGGTTCGGGGACGGACTTTGTATGGAAAAACATAGGCTTTCGTGCATCTGCTATCTCTCAAAAACGCATTTCGTGCGAGACTTCCTCCAAAACTCCATCGGCAACTCCTCCACCAGCAACACTTGCAATCCCATTTGCATTGTGGGAACGATCCTAGAGTTGCAAATCACAATGGAATTCCATCGGCAACTCATCCACCAGCACCACTTGCAACCCCATTTACAATGCGGGAACGATCCTACAGTTGCAAATCACAATGGAATTCTGTCGACCACACATGCACGAAAAGCAGTTGAAACCCCATTTACAATGCGGAACCCTCAAAAACGCATTTCGTGCGAGACTTCCTCCTTTGCTAACTCTTTCTTTGCTCTTTCTTTGACTAACTCTTTCTTTGCTATTTCTTTCTTTGACTAACTCTTTCCCTCACTAACTCTTTTTTTTTGACTAACTCTTTCCCTCACTAACTCTTTCTTTGACTAACTCTTTCCCTGACTAACTGTTTCTTTGACTAACTCTTTCTTTGACTAACTCTTTCCCTGACGAACTCTTTCTTTGCTAACTCTTTCTGTGACTAACTCTTTCCCTCACCAACTCTTTCTTTGACTAACTCTTTCCCTGACTAACTGTTTCTTTGACCAACTCTTTCCCTCACTAACTCTTATTTTGACTAACTCTTTCTTTGACTAACTCTTTCCCTCACTAACTCTTTCTTTGCTAACTCTTTCTGTGACTAAGTCTTTCCCTCACCAACTCTTTCTTTGACTAACTCTTTCCCTGACTAACTGTTTCTTTGACCAACTCTTTCCCTCACTAACTCTTTCTTTGACTAACTCTTTCTTTGACTAACTCTTTCCCTCACTAACTCTTTCTTTGACTAACTCTTTCCCTGACTAACTGTTTCTTTGCTAACTCTTTCTTTGGCTAACTCTTTCCCTGACATTCTAAAAGTCCGTAACACGGAAGTTTCTCCCCCTAAACTTCCTTTGTTTATATATACATATATTATATATATATAGTTACATTCACCATAAACAAAAACTAGGGAACGATATGGTAACGGTAAGTCCTGTGGATCCCGAACTGGCCAGGGTGGGATCTGCCGCAGGTTCCACACTGGCCAAGGGCTTGAAGTTGTACTTTGAGATCGAGGGGGAAAACGCTGGGAAGGAGGCCGGAAGATGTCGGTCGTTGGAAAAATAGCTCAACATTGGCGCAATGCAAAGTCAAAAGAACATAGTTTAAACATGTTCACGATGATGATGATGATGATGATGATGTGAATGTGAGTGTGGAGCAACGTCCGGGTTGGACGGAACGTGTTTAAACCCAAACAATGGCAAACATAATCAACAATACATGTAGCATCATGTAGCATCATGTAGCATCATGTAGCATAATGTAGCATAATGTAGCATCATGTAGCATCAAACATCTGATATGTGGTAATATGACAAACACTGGGTTTCATCCATGGTTTCAACTCAGACCCATTCAGACCCTACGAATTTGTCTGGAATAGAGGGCCTATTCTCACGTACCTGACGAAAGGGTAATGCTTAACTTAAATGCACCCTGATATTAGATTTCGGCCCTATTAAAATTGCTACCACCATCTACCACCCTTTTAATAATCTATATTTATCTAAGAGTCTATTGGACATGACCAGCTGAACCCCGTGACGACTCGTGCCGCAGGGCATGAAACTGCACCTGCTTCAAACGTTGCAGCCGCAGATCGCAGAGATTCGCAGCCTCTGGCGGGAGGCAGTGGAAAGATGGGAGGAAAGGCTGGAGATATGATTTAAGATGGGAGTATATACCAGGAATCTCCTGGAGTTACTTACCATAGGAGTATCATAGGATTAGGGATTGTCTTGGGATGATCATAGGCTGATACTAGGAATATATTAAAGCATGATGTGTCTGAGAACGTTGTGGAAAAAAGAAGGGAATGGTAGTTTAATCCTGTAGTGTTCTGGTATGAATGGAACATCAACGTGACCAGCAAAATATGTTTCTTTGATGACTACCAAAGATTAACCATGATATGATTTGATGGGAGTATATACAGTACTAGGAATATCATGGGGTTACCATAGGCGTATCATAGGAGTATGGATTGTGCTGGGATAATCATAGGATCAGGGATTGTCATTCCTGGATCATCTATGGTGAATGGATGGAGCGTTTTTCGCTGAGCGGTTTGGGTATCCCAATACTGGAATATCATCATTCCCATCAGTCCCTGGTAAACGTTTACATAGCTATGGAAAATCACAATTTTGATGGCTAAAGCAACGAACTTTCTATGGCAATTTTCAATACCAAACTCTTAGTTGACCAGAGGGTTACATGAAAATTCCACTAAATCACCATTTTGTACTGTGCTGGAGGATGCGATGATGCTGCTGAAAAAGGCCAAGATCATGTGCACAAGGATCCCTGGTTGGTACAACACCGTGATACATGATTACAATTACTTGGCTGGAGGAGACAAGAAATTTAGCATCAGTTATTTCGTGCTCAATGGGTGGGAAACATCTGGCGTCATGTATTTGACACAGATTACCCGAAGGACTGGCTTGCCAAAGGATATTTGCCAGATGGGACTCAAGATGCCAAGGAGTCTGCAAGAAATGACAAGATTGAAGGAGCTGACTACACAAATGTGGCACCCAGTGGTTCTCAGGCAGACTTCATTCGCTCGGTGATGAATTTGGACCAGACTGTCAACGCGCGTCCTCCTCGATTCGGAAGCGACTTGGGAACCCTTCTGTAAAGTCTTGACTCAATTCTGTGGTTCGATCTGCCCAATGTCAGTGGTTTCTGGATCCGGCAGCAGTCAGCTTTGTGATCATGTGTCGAACCTGGACTGATGTTTTCCAGATTCAAGGAATCACTGACAAGCAATCTCTGCCTATTCATTTGAAGACACTCGTTGGAAAAAAAGCATGAAGAAACTTCGCATCAAAGAGCCCCACCACGCATTGCGCAACGAATATCGTTGCCAAGCGTCGCGTCAAGCAAAATGCTAGCAGAGACATCCAGATTACCCCAAAAATAGATAGGTTGAAGAGATTTCCATAAAACCCTTTTTAGTTTACAGTTAAGATTGTGTATACAATCTCTTAATCGACCCCTAATAAATAATCCACGATTGCACCTTATTAGAGGCCGATTAGTGTTTTGCATCTTTTTGTATCCCCCCAAGACCAGGCTTAGATACAAAAACTTAACAGTGCCCTAATAATCATTGGGAGGGCTGAGATTTTACCTTATTACGTGACTTAGGTGACTATTATTTTTGTTGCATCCCCCAAGGCCGGGCTTGGATACAAAAACTTAATAGTTCCCTTAATAACGATTGGGAGGGCTGAGATTTTACCTTATTAGGTGTGACTATTATTTTTTTGTATCCCCAGAGACCGGGCTTGGATACAAAGACTTACTGTATATAATAGTAACCTAATAAGGATGAAAATCGCATTAATAGCATTCTATTAAGTTTTTGTACGATTTGGGGATACAAATACTTATTAGGAGACACATAACCAAAATGGGACTTTTCTTAACGCGGACCGGATTAGGGGCCTAATAAGGATTTGGATACAAAATCACACGTAATGGATTTCAGGCCTTAATTGCGCCTTTTTTTAACGTTACTATTAGTATATTTTTAGTACGCTAATAATATACAATTAAGAAAGTCATACAAAAATGAGATTTTTCCTTATTAGTATACTAATAATATAATTATATTAGTATACCAATAATGATTTCAGACATGGTCAAATCCTTAGAAATTTTGTAGGGCGTACGGGGAGGGGTAGTGTAGAACTTCACGAATATATTTTATTCTATTTCTCTCTACCTATCTATATGATTCTATATGTATATATACATTTAGATATATACGATAAAATTGAGTATACCATTTGGATATACATTTGGATATATGATCTCTACGATAAGGATATATGATATACATTTGGATAGTTCATGAATATCGCATATACTATCCAAGCAGTGACTTCTTCCAGGTGAAGATGGGTGCACTGCACGGACCTGGCCTGGGCTGGGGCGTGCCCTGGAGAGTTCAGCAGCGATTTGGGGGTTGAATATGGATTTATAACATTTTATAACTATGGATTGAAGTGGATTGATCATGATTGACACGGATTTACAACTTCTGGTTTGGATTTATTTGGATTTATGTCGGATTTGTATGGATTGATGTTGGGTTTTTTGGATTGATGAGCGGTAAACATTGAAAAAAACACAGTTGGCTAAGTGATGGGTTTTTGGTTGATATATCACTCTAGTGAAACCAGTTTGACTGAAATATATAGTTGAGACCACTCGAGAGAGGGATGGGACCCCATGATGAAATCCTGTACAACAGTCTCTTCTTGGAGTTCCCGGGTTAATATGTTCATCCCATTATTTTGTGATTTTGATATTATAACATATTGTAAACATATCATGTCAAATGGCAACCAATTTTGATCCTACCCAGTGTTGGATCATCCACACTTTGGTCGCTTAAATCCGCAGTTTATCCCAGTATTTGAGCACACAAAAAGGGGAAACGTTAGTCATACGAACTAAACGCCAATACGCCATCCATTTTTATACAAGGTGGTGCCCCATACCATAGTTAAATTGCTTTATAATTTGATTAATTGGTGGGTGTTATGGTCATGATTGGCGATGTAGAACTATAGTTAAATGATCTGTGCAATGGTGTTTGTGAAGCACCAGGATGTTTGATGATTATCCAATCAACCGTTGATCATCCGTTGATCCCCCACTTATGGATCCCTCAATGATCTTGTTTTTTTAAACCAAAGAAACCTCATTTTAAAAAAGTAACCATGAATTACTTCACCAGAAGTTTGTCAGTTAGTCATAGTTCATGTTCAACAACTATGACTAACTGACTATATCAACAAATTTACAATTATGCGAACCAATTTATATATTAACTATGATAACTATGATAACTATAACTAACTAATGAGTTGCCTGGTGGATCCGGGCGCGTTTGCAGCGTAGGTCTCTGTGGATCCCTCGCGGCTCTTCCTGGTGCAATCCTTTGATCCCTTCCAGAGGCAGAAAATTCATGGTGTTCTTAGTTTTCTTCATGCTTAAAGGGATGAAAACTCCATGGAAATAGCCATGCTTTTCATTGTGCCATTTTGAAGTGAAACAAATTCTGATAGTTAACCGAATTATGTTAACCTAACGGTCATCAAACGTGGCTGGGAAATCCAGGAAATCCAAGTAGGGATAACGCTAGATCGTGAGGGTCTGGGTATAGAAAATGTGTGCGGGGCTTTCCCCTGAATTGGCGGAAAAAAACGGCAACCCCAATAATTCAAGGTTCAAAGCATGGTGTGATGCAGGACTGATTGGGTGTCTTGGATTGGGTGTACCGGAACCTCTGGGATTTTGTTGAACCAAAAAAAATGTGGGGAAGTGAATGCCCCCAAACGATAGCTACTGGTATGTTGATATTTTAATAATTTTGGGTTAGCTAGTTTTATTTTTTTTTCGGGAGATGTTTTGTGGTGATTACCACTACAGTATGGATAATAGTGTGTATCAAGCAACACAGATGACTTTATGTGCAGCACATTGTATTTGATAAACCCAACAGTTACCCTCTGGTTTTTAAACGTAGCTATGGAAAATGGTCCATTTATGGATGGATTACCTATATTTACCTATTAAGCATGATGACTTTCTATAGCAAAGTGTCAAATAACCATAGGGTAGCTGTTGGATTATGTGGATCCTAACTTTGCCAAAGATCTGGGGCGCCAATCATCTTGGATTGCCAGATATTGGCCCGGCAACTCTGATTTGCTTTGCCAAAGCTTAGCATCTTGCGTTACCTGGCGCTGGCGAGGGATCTGTTCATAGGGATTTCATGGGGAAACCAAGCGTTTTGATGGATTTGTTTCATGGGAATGACCAACTTGATATGTGATATATGTGGGCCATGTGGGTGTCTCTGAAAATTCTATTCCCAAAAAATTGCCATCTCTGGTTATCAATGGTTATTATATAATGGTTATATAATGGCTATTAATGGCTATTAATGATTATTGATGATGATGATGATGATGATGATGATGAACTATACCGGATTTTTGGGTACCCCACTTTCAGGTCCGACAATTATCCCTTTTTGGCTGGACTTAAAAGGGTGAGATGTCGCAGAAATTTTGTTCGATGCTGAAGGGATCGAATGGGGGTAAGTCATGTGGTAATACTACAATCCTCAATAATAAATGATATAAATGGGTATATGTGGTAAACTTGTAAAGCCAGTTCCCATGCAGTATTAATAATAGTCATGTGGTAAACCCAGTCATTTGGGTATGTGCTAATCCCAATGATAAATCATCTTCAATACTGCCAACCAACCGCTGCCTACGGACGGCAAACCTCCAAGCAGAGCAACTGCCTTATATCAGTTTTGTCGCTTCCCCCAGTCCCCTACCCAAATACTACATGAAATCGATGGTATTTGGTAAAAGAACTAGTTTTCTGATTGTGTTTACCAGATTATCTCTAATGCCGGCAATGGTCATATGCTTTGATTTGATCCGATTTGCAAATGAGGAGTTCCTAGGAATTTCATCATGGACCCCCAAGAACTGGGTCTGGTTTCTGTTCGAAAAAGTGGGGATGGATCAAAATTGTCAACCGTTTCTTGCTGGAAAAATCCCCATTTCGTTCGATGATTTCGATGGACACTTGCCATTGTTCCCGGGGATTTCCCAGCCAGTCACATTTGATGACCAGAGGGTAGACCTTTTTAGGGGAGATGAAGATCCATTTCCAGACACGTTGATGTTCACCAGGGTATTGGGGGCTGGGTGACCCATAGCCAGATGTCATTTCTGACCTGGTTTGATGTGGAAAAAACCAGCGGTTTGATGGTTTTTGTTGGGGCAAAAGTCACGCTGGGTTTTCAAGGACATGATTCCACTTATGGAAATGGGTGCATATAAAAGCCCCCAGCCCCCATGTTTCATGGTCAACCCCCCCTTGTGTCACTATGATCCTGGGAATCCTTTGAGAAGATGGTCAACTGAGGTGCAGGAGGGCAGCCATGAAGAAATTAGGACTTTACTGCTGCAGATGCAGGTGCCGAGGGGGTGGGGAGCCATGCCATGCATTTCAAAACGTGCTGAAACGGCTGCAGGATTAGATTAGTTGGGATTGTCAAATGTCTGCTTCCATGTCGGGAACATGGTCACAAACGAGGGAATTGCGAACTCTGTAACGAAGAGTCATCTTGGACAAAAGAGAATCCATATCAACTAACTGAACCAGCGGCAATTGCGCTGGCTCAGGTCACAACAACCGGCTCAAACAATTTGGTTTCCAGAGCTGAAGTCAAAGTTGCGTCACCATTTGCACCTTTTGGATCCGTGCGTGGAAACTCTTAGTTCTTCTGTCAACATTTAAAACATTCTAAAACTGCGTAATTATACCTTAAAGCCAATAATAAACCATGCCATACCGTACCCAATTTGTACAAAGGGGATATCAAGATCTCCAACAACAAGTGCCAGTAGGTTTACCCAATTAACGTCAGTGACCCTCTGGTAGACATACAAAAAACTACGGAACATCAGCCTTTTTAATAGCTAAATCAACGAACTAAATAGTAATTGTTCATAGTTCATAGCAAACAGTTAGTTTACAAGAGGTTTACTAAGTATCTGAGTATCTAAATATGGGATGTGTCAAAGCCTATTATGGGCATATTTTGGGGAACAACTAATAAGCATCCATAAACCAACTATTTTTAGGGTATCTAGATGTATCTAGGGTACCAGGGTTTTGACTCATAGTCATATTGGTTGTTTCCTGAAATAGGGGTACCCCCAAATCATCCAAGTCATTAATCTATTTATATAAGCATTGCTATTGGTGACTTGGGCATCCCCCATGACTTAGAAACCCCCGTATCTAATATCCAATGGGGAATAATATCATCCATAAACCAGCTATTTATGCTATTTTATCTTGGGTACCAGGCTTTTGACTTATAGCCATATCTAAATATCGAATGAAAATCAATTAAAAATCTAAATTTCACCCATCCTCGCCGGCCCCGTGGGGTTCTCGTGAGGCGCTCTTGAGCACATTTGGTTTGAACGTCCAGGTGCGGTCGGACCGTAGCCGTAGTGATGGTCGCTTTAGGATTGGGGCCAGGTAGGCCACGCCTGTCCCCAGCCATTCTCTCAGAATTGGTTGTCTTTTTAAAGTTTTTTTGGGGAGAATAATACTTGAAACATAGCCAATCATGACCAGTGGAAGTTGAACTGTCAGCTGGGGCGCTGAGAAGCAACCAGAAAAGTAGGTTGGATTCCCTTGCAAGAGATAGAGCAGAAAGAATGTTTAAGGATGTAATGACAAGGTTTCCTAAGTCATGGGGGATCCCCTGTTGTCGCCATAGGTTTCCATACCAACAGTGGATTAATGACTTGGATGACTTGGGGGTACCCCTTTTCGTGGGATGATGAATTGATGAGTTTGTCGATTGGGGTGTTATTAAACAGTTCATCAACATTTGTTATCCAAATGTCCATATTAAATTGGTGTCATGACAATTCACCAATTATTGCAACATCCCGGAATTCCGGGTGGCAAAAAGATTCATGTTTTCCAGTCCGTTCAAAATGCGTTTTTTTCTCTGAACATCTGTGAGCTAGTCACTTAACAACTTCCACATGGGTTGTAGCTTGGCTCTTTCGGAAGTTGCAAAGGGCACCAGGGCACCACCTTTCTGGACAAGTATAGGATTGATTCCTTGACTCTTCGCTGGGTCTCTGCAACAACATCTTAACATATCTTAACCAATATGTTTCTTTGTTTAACACAATGGCAAGACAACACATTCCTACAAAGTGTGGCCCGCGAGTTCTACGTTGGACTCTGTTAACCCTCCCGGTAACGGGAGTGATAGATCCACAAATCCATATTCCTCAACCTAGCAATGAAATATATATATATATATATAATGAAATAACTTCCCTACTAGAGTATCAGTAATACACGCGTCAATACAGATATATATATATATATTTTTTTTTTTAATGGTTGGATCAATCCAGATATCTTGCTGTTATAATCCAATTTAGAGGTGGGTAATGTAAAATTAAAACCCTTTCATGTATCATTGTTTTGTGTGTCTTCTATATATGTTTTGTGTTGGTTTGTGTTTGCCTGTTTATGGTGATTTTTCCATTTATGAGCAAAACAAACTACACATCCAAGAAACCATCTATTTTTTGCGGACGACCACGAAACTATGAAAAAAATCCAGTTCCCATTTCTTCAACTCATCGGAACTTTGGTGATCTCCCAGAGGTAGCTCAAGCCGTGCCGGGAGGCGGGAACTGGCCATGGAGCCACCTTAAATGGGTATACATTTAAGGGGATTCTATAGCGAGATATATATATATATATATATGATATATATATGATATATATATATATGATATATATATATATATTATGCCTATGGACCTATGGATATATAATATAGAATAATTATGTTTCCCCACCTGCCAGGTGAGGGTTGTTAGATTTTATGTTAGTTGCCTGCTCCTCTCCTCTCCTCCTCATCTCCTCGTCATCTCCTCCTCCTCTCCTCCTCCTCCTCCTCGTCCTCCTCGTCCTCCTCGTCCAACTGCGACCCGCGATCCACAGTGTTCTCTGTCGGACCTCAACCACGACCATCCATGCTCAGTGTTCCCTGCCGGACCTCAACCACGACCATCCATGTCAGTGTTCTCTGTCGGACCTCAACCACGACCATCCACGCCCAGTGTTCCCTGCCGGACCTCAACCACGACCATCACTGCCAGTGTTCCCTGCCGGACCTCAACCACGACCATCCACGCCCAGTGTTCCCTGCCGGACCTCAACCACGACCATCCCCGCCCAGTGTTCCCTGCCGGGCCTCAACCACGACCATCCACGCCCAGTGTTCCCTGCCGGACCTCAACCGCGAATATCCACGCCAAAAGATATGCCACATATAGTGCCAGAAGATATGCCAGATAGAATGTTAGAAGATATGCCAGATAGAATGCCAGAAGGTATGCCAGATAGAATGCCAGATAGAATGTCAGCTAGAATGCCAGAAGATATGCCAGATAAAGTGACAGAATGTTTGCCAGATAGACTGCCAGCAGATTTGCCAGATAATATGCCAGAAGATATGCTAGATAGAATGCCAGATGGAATGCCAGAAGATTTGCCAGATAATATGCCAGAAGATATGCCAGATAGAATGCCAGATGGAATGCCAGAAGATATGCCAGAACATATGCAAGAAGATATGCCAGAAGATATGCCAGAACATCTGCCAGAAGATATGCCAGAACATCTGCCAAAAGATATGCCAGGTAGAATGCCAGAAGATATGCCAGATAGAATGCCAGATCGAATGCCAGAAAATATGTCAGATAGAATGCCAGAAGATTTGCCAGTAACAAAATGTATAAATGTCATGGTGGGGATCACACGAAGTAAAGTATTTTTTCTAGTATGGGGTATCACATAGTGATGAGAAACGATCGCCTTTTGTGTGATCAATTTCTGATAGGAAAGGGGAGATCACTTCCATGAATATGTGACATGTCCACAGTTGAACGCGAAGAAATATGATATAGCACCCGCAATGATGCTGACAAGTAGTTCCAGGATGGTAGTTCGATGATGTGTTTCCTTTTTGACTACCACGGTTTCAATTTTTCGGCACCTATTTGAATTTGAGGGTTACTATATATAAATACTCTATGAAACTATGTTTGTTGCCAACACACCAACAAAGATGTGGATTTCACATTATGTCAACCAACAAAAAACCATGGGAATACATGTGAATACATGGGAATACCATGGGATATGTTGTGGATGGTCTGGATAACATGAAAATGGGAGGCACCACCAGCTCCTTGGCAAATAATGGGAATTGGAGGGTACTGTGACTATCCCCAAGTGGACGCATCCTTCAGTTTGGTCATAGATACGATAGATGACATAGTCTATCCAGAAATGTGGGATAAGTATCAATAAGTATGCGTATTATCCCAAGTCAAGTGTATTTCGATCTTTGGATCCATTTTGTATTAATTAGGGTTCCCCAAAAAAAACAGTGCCTTGGATCCATCCTAGTTTTTACTGTAGTTGATGGCCAGAAAATGAGGCATGCCCGCCATTTTCAAGACAAACCCATGCATTGAATCCCCTGGAAAGTGAAAGTTCCGGTGAGTGCCCGGCAGATGTTTTGGCAATGATATTATAGATTATATTAAAGGATCTATTAAATGTGTCAGTTCAGTTAATTCATGTTAATTCCATACAAGTTACTTCAAGTATATCTTCAATGAGAGTTTTACTGGCAACAAAAGTGTCGTTGATCTGAACTACTACAACGTTGGTGGTATCCCCACTTTCGCACTGCATCGCCACCGCGGCAGTGCGGCTCAAGGCCGCTCGAAACCGAAACGGAGTTGTCTCCTCCATGTTTTTTGGTCGGCGGTCCCGATCAATGCCATGCGTAGTTGTCGTGTATCTCGCCGAGTTGCATCCGGTGCGATGAGTCCGATGTTGCATGATATCACAATTCAGGAGCCATTGGTTCGTGTTTGGTTCGTGTTTGTGAGTCACATAAATCCTGGTTTCTATAGGTATACTGCAAGTGGAATGTGATTTTGAGTTCCGATCTGGCAAGATCAAGATCTAAGTAAAGGGGAACATGCTTGCTTTAAATGGAGATAGATCAACAGCCGTGGGATCGTCTGATCCCCGAACTCAATGGAGGTTGAGTTCGCTGGGAAAAGCATCAAACTACATGGCGGATTTTCGGGATCTTCACTCATTGCAAAGGCAAAAAACAACATCCAAGAACATCTGCAGAAGAATGGGATGTTAAGCTTACCTAAAAACTTATTTGTTCCAAAAAAGGGTTGGCATTGTTGTCCGTTTCTTGGAACTTTTTGTTTCACATCACCTGAACAAGTACCCTCTGGTAAACTAACATAACATAACATAACAATGGAAAATCATGGAAAATCACCATTTTTAATGGGTAAATCCACTATAAATGGCCATTTTCAATAGCTATGTTAGTCATTACCAGAGGGTATATCTTAGAGATGATATCCCCGTATTCCACCGTGGGTGATCTATATGTGTTCCGTTCGTTGCAAGGTGAGGCCCCCTATCTGAAAATAAGTTGCGTATCATAAACCCATTAACTATCAGTTCTATCTATATATATATATATATACATATTAATATATTAACCAAGTTAGAAGTCAACTTAATCTATTTCAAATCTATACATCCCATATAAATGTCTACAATTCCAATGGAAATCCCATAAAAATACCATGAAATCCGTTTTTTTTCGTGAAATTCACCATTGTCCGATGTGTTTTTTTTTGAAGGGCTTCCTCACCTTGGGCCCTGAGGCGCTATGGCTAACGTTGGCACTTTTTCTGCCAGCCGCTGCAAGTGAGTCTTGCGACTGGCCGCCGTAAAGCAAGCGGGGTAAATTATACACTTATGGCCACAGTCATGACATAGAACCTGAGTTATAGGTTCACCATTTATGGTGGTTGGATAGGATTTTCATGGGATTATTTACCGGATTTCTACCCTATTTGTCTCAAAATAGGGTTTTTCGACTCACAGTTATAGCATGTTATAGCCATTTTTCAATAGGGAAAATGAGCTTCGAATCGGTTCATCATCCCAATGGAGCGCTTCTGAAATTCATGGGGCTACACCCCACAAAGGGCAATTTTAAGAGGCTGAATTGAATATGATTTATACATATATATATATATTATATGTATATATTATAGTATATACTGGTTGGTGATTTGAAACCATGGAATTTATGACTGTCCATATATAGGGAATAATCCTTCCCATTGACTAATATTTTTCAGAGGGGTTGAAACCACCAACCAGTATATATATATATATTATACATATAAATAAATTTAATATTATATAACGTATATGATCCATTGAGATTGGGGATACATATGGACACATGATTTTCGGACAAAGCCACATTGCACTGGGCTTTTTGGAGGATTATACTAGCAAGATGTATTGGGAATGCTCACAATTGAACGGAGAATTATATGAACCAATCGAACCAACCATTCTATTTGTTTAAGTTTTTTTTAAAACTTTCCCAATCGGAACTACAGCGGAAACTGAGGACTTTATAGGGGATATTCTTTTATTTGTTGGGGGGCCTTAAGCAAATTCAATCTATAGTTCTGTTTGAACATAGGGAATACTCCCCAAGTGGCAATTTCAGCAGAGACAATGATGATATCCCATCTAAATCGGTGGTAAATGTGGTAATTACTCTATTTTAAGACAAATCCAAATTGTGAGTTTATTTGGATTTGCTATTTCTATCTATTTCTCAGTTCTTGATAGGCGATTTCTTCAAGGCAGTCATTTGATGTCATTTGTTGTACACAATTTGCTCAAATATTGGGGTGAACTCACTGTGACTCCACTGTGACCTCCCAATGACAATTATGGTTAGGATGGGAATTATCCCAATGACAAAGCCTGAAAATTCAGGCCAATGAATCATGAGAATTGATCCTTTTTTATTTTGGATATTTTTGGATGTCACCTTTGCCTGTCATGGAACCATGAGTCGGGTAATCTTGCACCTGGAATCGTGGAGTACAGGCGTATTTTGCTCACCTTTTTACCGAGACCCTCAAGTGACGCGTGAAAAACATTGGAAAAAAAACGTGTACCATGACCCCTCCAGGCAATTTCTACAAAACCATGACCCATTCCCCACATACCCATCTTTACCCCAGTTCTAAGTCGGGATCCATAGGGCCTCAAGATCCCATTGTGCAGTACAGGGCTAGGCTTTTACGTCGCGACGTGGCGGGTTTTTTGTGGTTTAATATATGGATCCCAAAATGTCCGAACTTTTTAGATTGGTAAATTATGAATATTATGGCAAATTTTGTCCAGATAGATGATTATAGACATCCAGTCAAAGATAGACAAGTGACTTATCACTGTTTTTGTTGGGTAATTATCCCTGCTATGATAGAACAGTAACACCATGATGATTTATCATTATCTTTATGGGATGTTGCTTTCTATCGTTTTGTGGGGATGTTGCTTTCTATCGTTTTGTGGCTTACAATAATATTTACCTCTTTATCTCCAGTTTTCAGTCTGTCCAGTCTACTTTCATGGGGTTACTCTACCAAGTGGCACTCTCGGTGTGGGATATCCACCATAGATCCGTTCGCCTGTAAACCTATCAGATCCTAAGTCAAACATCATCGAGCATGAGTCGCCTTATTGGTTCAGGAACCGTAGATATCCTGCACCAGTTGATAGATGGTTTATCCCATTATGTATAGATATTTATAGGGTTTCAACCATCCAGGATTGGTGGTGCAGGATTTCGCAACCATCCACAGTATGATAGCATATCAAATCATATCAAACTAGCAGAATCAAACCAAAGATGAATCACAATTTGTTGACACTTGCTCGTTAGGTCTTGATTTTAGCTGCTCAAATACGGCCCGGTGAGTCCCAGGTGATGGCGATGTGTCACAGATGCTGCAGAAGAGACTTGGTGCTATGGAAAATGGATTAATATGGCCCTTTTGAGTTGGATGATTTATGATGATTTACCCGCTGGAAGGTCTCGGCTCTAAGGGTATCCCCCTTTAGCTGGTGTACTTAGCGGGGTTCTTGGTGCGATTCCCCGCGGGCTTGTGGCGCTTGCGTTGCGCTGCACAGCCTCAGTGAGCACTGCGGCTTTGGGCGGCTTTGGGCTGCGGCTTTGGGCATTGCCTGCATCCTCTTGCTGCTCTTTGACATCGCCACGGTGTATGACCTTGTGGCTTTTCTTCCTGCTCCTTGCATTGGTCTTTGCCCCAGAGTTTGTGATCTGCCGTCGACATCATTGCGAAGACTGCAGCCACTCATCGTCGAGCTCTTCGCAGAGCACGTGCCAAAGCTCGCCTTCGGTGGCATTTGCATCGTGTTGGCCTTCGACCTCTCGATTCACTGGCACTGGCCCGGCTGCATTCAACCCTTGGTGCGCATCACAGCCAGGATCCGTTGTTCCTTGCCCGGATTCGAGGAGCGATGTCGAACTCCAAACCAGTTCCATGGAGGTGCAGGGTGTGCAAAAAGATGGCCAAACCATCAATGCCACGTTGCGCTTGGTGCGGCAAGACTTGGCAGGAGGTTTTGGACACCTCCTTTCAACCGCCGTCTTCCCAGCAGCAGAGGCCCTCACCACATCGTCAGCATCACGGCGGAGACTATCCTTACCAAGGGCAAGGTCAAGGTGGTTATCAGCAGGGACTTGCGAGAGAGCAAACACCTCGACGCAAGTCCCGCAAAGGCAAAAGAGGCAAGGCTCAGCAGCAGCAGGGGCTGCAGCAATCTGGGCCACCTTCTATGCCTTCGCAACCACAGTACCTTCCTCCTGGCAATTGGTATCCTCAGGGCCCTTATGGACCCTTTCCTGCTCCTCAAGGTCCTCCTGCCTTTGTGCAACAGTGTTTGGCGCCACCACCGCCTCCACCTATGCCAAAGGCCACCGCAGTTCCCCCAGATCAGGTGTGGGTGCAGCAGATGCAACAGATGCCAGTGTTGGATGTGATGAGCCCTGGGATGGTACAGCCTGGGCAATCGCCGGCTCCAACCTCACAGGCGGAAAAACATCTCCAGAACATCCTTGGTGCATTGCGCAAGTCAGAGGATACTTGGACTCCAGAGGTTCAGATGGCTGTTCAAGAGGTCAAGCTTCAGGCCGAGGAAGTTTCCCTGCAGCAAGTTCAGGACAGTGCTGCCGAGCTCAGGCTTGCGAGAAAAGCGGTCGCAGATGCAGAGGCAGCACGGTTGCGTCTGATCACATCATGGCGTACATTCCTTCAGTACAGCGTTGCTCGCTGGAAGGAGTACACTCAATTGTTTCAGGGACAAGAAGCCGAAGCACAGACCCAACTGGCTGCTGCCAAAGAGCAATTGCACAATGCTCAGAGGAAGTTTGGGGAGACCTCCGAAGCTATCCGCTCTGGGGCTGGACACCATGTCATTTCCGACGAGGAGGCCGACGAGGGTGCGAAGGCCTTGCCGGACGAAGAGATGAAGGACGAAGCCACGCAAAAGATTGGCCTTGGTTTGTCACAGGTGGTCAATTCTTTACAAGCACTTTCCGAGCAAGCGGAGGCAGAAGAGAGAAAATCCAAACGCCTTCGCAAAGCCTCGGATGGAGAAGATGGCGCCTCCCCACCGCAGGCATTGCCATCTATGCAGCCTTTTGGCAAGGCAGGTGTTCAGTGACAAATGTGTGCGTTCACCAGATGCCGTTTTCATTGGAGCTTCGGCCAGAATGTTTTCCCTGGCTGCACTCCGTGACCGAAGAGCTTGCATTTACATCTCCCTGGGTCGCTCTTCAAAGAGCCGAAGACTTGGCATCTGAAGTTGGGTATACCAGTGCCATTCGAATCGACATTTGTCAGCTGTCAAAACCGAAGCGTTTTGCAGCCAAGCTGTCCTTTGACCCAGTCATCCAAGTGCGAATCCTAGATGATGACACGTGTTTGGAGCGTACACAAGAAGTGTTGGAGGATGTACTTTCTGGGTGGCCCTCCAAACCGTGGTCATTGGCAGATCCCAGAACCTTCAGTCAGGATTTTTGCATTGACATTGCGGCGTGTTCCGATCAGCTTGCGGCCTTGCAGGTGTCAATGCCCCTTTCGTCATATCCCGATTGGATGCATGTTCCCAGGCATCCGGCAAAAGACAGTGGGCATGGACTTTTTGAATCAGCTCCCCCTGATGCACCTCTGCATGGACTTTCTGATCGAGTTGGACAGATGCAGCGTGATCATGATGCCCGTCTTGGCCCTAGTTCCATTAGCCTGTCGAGGTCGGGCCCTATGCAGAACCGGCCTGACTTGACAGAAAATCCAAATTTTCCTGACCCTTCCAGCTCGTCCGATGATGCACATGGGCACGCTGGACAAGGTCGACGTCCTCTCAGGCATTTTCCTGCGTGGGTTGAAGAGCTCTGGAACATTCTCCAGGACGAGGGTGCCGCAGAACTCCTCGAAGAAGGGCCCGTGATCTACCTCAGCACCTACTATCTCAGTCATCGCAACTGTGTTAGGCAACCAGATAGCCGACCAATTCGATTGACTCGAAGATATGAAAACTGGAGCGAGGAGATCAAACAGGTATGGGGCGACCATTTTGACCGTTTTGCCGACTTCAGCCTGTTTTTGGTAAAGCCCGAACCTCCAATTTCCATCACGCGTGGTATCGTCGGCATTGCGTTGGTGGTGCAGCATGCTCAGCCTGAAAGGGCGGCCATTCTGACTACAGCCCTTTTTGATGAATTACCCACGCCACGCACTCGTGAGATTGCTCATGTTCTTGACATCTGGACTGATCACAACACTGTGCTTCACAGAGCTGAAGCATTTGAGGTTTGTGAGGAAGCTCAACGAGAAGGCCTACGTCCTTGCGTCCTTCGTGCCGGAGGGTATGTGTTTCCTCGTGAGCGACCTTTACGTGCCGTTGATGGTCTTGGGATTGTTGTCAGTGTTCCCATGCTGCTTGATGAAGACACTTGGAATACATTTGTTCGCCCTCGTATGGAAACCTGGCCAGAGTTTGCTCCGCTACCACCACCAGACAACCATGGTGCTGATGATCAGGTCGTGCTCATGGCGCGCAGGCCTCGATTACGCGTTCCCTCTTCATCTGGTTCGTCTTCCTCATCTACCGGTGCGACCACCAGTACAGGTAGTGATGTATCCTCTACTCGGTCGGCTACCAGGCCCAGAACGGTGCTTTTCTGCTTTGACGGGATCTCGTCTTCTCGTCACATCATTGACGTTCCTGGACCAGGGCAAGTCAACGAAATCGAAACTGCGCTTTCTTTGCCTCAGGGAACAGTGTCGATGGCGGTTGGGGTCTCGGAGCGGCCTGAAGACTTGGTCGCGATGGAGCTGCTTTGCATTTTGGTGGTTCAAGCTCATCAACCGCGACCTATTGCCTTTTTGCGTCTGACATTGCTCGACCTTGAGATCATTGAGCCCAATGACGTCTTGCCAGGTGTCTTTCAACGCACGGTGAAATGGCTTCCTCACACTACAACGCGGTTGTCACTCTTTCGGGTGCTGGGCCTTGAGCCACTCCTCGCGTTGCATGAGGAGAAGACACACCTTTGGCTCAACAACGAGCTCGTCGATCCAGTGTCCAGACGTGCTCTTACGATTGAAGACGGTGACTACGTCAAAATTTTCATTGGGGATGATGAATTCCGGTTCCAATGTGATGTAGCGCCCGATGAGATGGCCCTCCTGCAGATCACCACCAACCCTATCCTTGCGGTTGAGAAGCTCGGTCTTCCTGTAACTGAGATTGCTCCTCAGATTGCTGATGAAAATGAAAGATCTGGTTCTCTGATTGGCCCTGGCCTTGACGATGAAGTTGTCGGTCATCCTGCGGTCATTTCCTGCAGCTTTACTGATGAGTTTCTCAGAGCTGTTGACGCCTTGCGCACTGCCACGGAGGCCACACCTGAGTTCCCAGAGGATGACCCAGGTGATTTGTCAGCATATGACTTTTGGGTACAACGTCTACATGAGGCTTGGACCCAATTTGCGACAGTTGGCCCAGGAGGCATGGAACGACTTGGGCGGGTTGAAACCTGGTTCAATGACCATACAAATTTTCAAAGGTGCCACCATACCCGTATAGCAGTGCTCGGTCCAGATGCTCACCGCTGGGAAGAGCAGCTACGTCATCTCTGGCGGCAATACATTCTTCCTGGTGCGCCGCTCGAGTTCTTTATGGTCGAACCTACTCCTGAAGACGCCTCAGGACAAATCATTGGCCAGTTGATCCTGGTACAAAGGCCTCACCATCTGCAACGCTCTGTGGTGATTTCCACGTATGACACCGAGTACGACCAAGGGCGGGCCCACTCCCTGGCTGTGGTGATGGGTGATCACGTGGACTTGCACTCAGTTTGCACTATGTTGCAAGCTCATGACGATTGTCCGCCAGAACGACCAGAGAATGCATGTTCCCTGTGGGAAGGTCCCCGCTTGGTTGAGCCGTCTGAGCGAGTATATGCCAGACATGGCAGCGTCTTCAAGTTTGTCATTAGGCGCTCCCTCAGTGCACCGGCGGGGTATCCTTCAGACACCAATCTTCAGAATCGAATGGCCATCATTGATGCCAGGATGCATGCCTCTCATCAGCAGCGTCTTATTGAGACATGGCCGCTGTGGCTCCAGGCACTACATCGCATCTTCCAAGATCTTGCAGAAACTGAGCGGGAAGATGAAGGGCCAGTTGCGTATGTGACCACCTGGTACCTCCATGCATCATATGCACCTCGCTGTGACCCTGGAAGGAATGTACGACTTCGGGATGATCCCAGAGATTGGCAGCGCACTTTGCTGGAGGCCTGGGATGACCGAAGGGAGTCTTGCCGACCTGCTGACCTGTTTTGGGTCACCCCTGCGCCACCGACCTCACTCACTGACCATGTTTTGGGGCACATTCTCATTGTCCAAGGACTTCCAGTTCATTC